CCAGTTCATCGAAACATCAACTCTTCGGACGGGGTCGAACCTTCAAGGTGTCCGATACGCCTCGATGCCAAATCGAGCGGGTGACAACTGCCACAACCAGGAAGGTGTGGGTTGTGTTTTTGGTGCAAACGCCACTTCTTGCTTGGTTGTAAACCCAGGTTTCTAGCCAACTCTCTTAGGCGAACTGCTAGTGGTTCACCGATTCGGTTATACGCTCGGATGTTGGCTTTTCGTCCTTGACTGCTAATGTTGACTCATTCAGTCGATCGGCGGTATTTAAATCAACGGTGAAACCTCTTCATAAGCTTATTTCCATCTTCTGAACTACACGACCGGTTATTCAGTTTAAGTTTGTACAACAATTAACCATGCACTATCGTTCCCCGGTTTGGGTTGCTGTCTTTTGGTCGCCCATTTGGTTGAAGCAGAAGGAGAAAGAAGGGAAAGTTGAAAGGACAGTCGAAGAGAAAATGGCGCATTTCAGTGAACCAAGGTGGTAAATAAATTGAGAAGATCGCCAATGTGTATGACACTGATTATTGATGAATATAACTGAAGCTGGGAATATGAGGCTTAGTCAAAATCTTTGGACATATCTCGATCACACTTGTACTAGTTTTTCACTCATCTAAATCTGATATACAACGTAAATTGACAACCAATCCTAAGAACGAAACTGCAGCGAATTCAATACATCCCAGAAAAGCTCAAATGTACGACAATGTATACTGTTACACTCCCTAACCCACCAATTCAAGCAGTGATTCCGTGTGCGATGCACAGCACGATTCTCATCATATATTCACCATAAAACTCATCGGTAGATAAAAACGTTTTCTGCACATCATACAAACTGGAACTATCCCACGTAAATAGACAGATGTGAGAAAGTTTCATGAGCAACTAGCTACACCACGGTGCACTGCACTCAAGTCAGATTTCCTTAGGAGAATCTATTTTCGTTTTATATTGCGATTTTTTGATTTATTAAACAGTCGACTACAACTTCGGATGAATAAATGCGCAACCCTCCGAAACGGACTATTTTGTTGGCTATCCATTGTTTGTTTATTTCTTTGTTTGGTAACGGAAAGGGAAGATAAAATCCACAACAAATATACTTGTTTGGATTCAAGTTTTTTCCGTATCAGTAAACTTTCCTATAACAAGTGTGGAAACCCTAATCCGGTGGCTCCCCTTGGCAACAGGTGGCAATGTTTTTTTCATCTTTCTGGATACACGTCTAAATCGGTTCACTCGTCAAGGTCACTGAATAATCAAACTATAGTCACAAGATTGCTCGTAAGAAATGGGATCACGTGATACACAAGCACTCTACTGTGGAAATCATTAAATGGGGTGTGTGTGCGCGCATATATTGTAACCATCATGTGGTAATTGTGAGCAGAAGCACCGTGCAGCCAAACCGATTTCCAGCTACTGTTCACTTCATTCATCTTGAAACTTAACTAGGAATCATTCACACGCAGCATCACTTGGTAAAGCCAAAATCTTGAATGACTACCTACCAGGCATGACTGCATCTGCCCATGGCCTAGCCCGCTTTTATTTGTTGAACTGTTCCGGGACCTTTCATTCCTCCTCAGTCTCTTGTAAAGTCCTAAAATATTTGTACTTTAATATTACACTGTAATAATACCGTTCCGTTAGTCGGCGGAATGTTCTNCCAAGTTCGCATGAATGCGAATCTCAGAAGCGCAAACAGGGACGAATAATAAAAAATAATGGTCTCGAAAACAAAATTGCAATGTGTCGGTGCGTGGAGTGTTCGGATCAGCCGAAGAGTCCAGTGCTGTCAGTTGTCGTATTTGATGCCAACTGCATTACATGCTCATGTTCAATCGGGCTTAAGTGTATCTATTGGGCTATCACATCATTCTCTCTGTGTAACCACTTATTAGGTTGATCAGGAGGTCCCTAACCGGGAAGCCGGGTGAAATAGAAATTGTCGAGTCCATGTCCTAGTCAAACCACATTTTGTGTTATTCCAGCTACCACCTACCTCAGGAAGCATTGCACACCAAACAAGTCTGTTCGGTGACGTGATTGAGGCGACCCGGCAATCATAATGGAATATGATCACTCATCTAGTATTGGGTGATCTTTATTTTATTATTAACACCTTATTATCATTGACCTATTCAAAAACGTCCTAACAAAGGAGTGCAAACGATCCCATTGATGTTCATTTCAATTTGTTCAACAGAATTTTGCCTTCCCACTATTACTCGCTTTTCCGCTTATTTTTCAAAACAAACCGGAGAGGATTAAATCACGTGATTTGTGAGCTATTATTCCGTGAGACATTTTCAGAGTTACACTTGGGTAAAGTAAGTGATTGCTTCAGTTCCCTCTGCATTCCCTTGTTTACACACTGTTTTCAGTCGCCAAAATAAATCGACGTCACCCGGATACGTCGACTGCTTCACCTACAACAATTGAGTTCGTGTGTGTGTATGCTACAGTCATTTATAAATCAGACACCACGTATGACCAAACTAGCTCATTA